CATCCTTCAGGCCGTGCCCAACCTTGGACAGTCCTCCGCTGATAAGTGGTATCCTGAAGCCACCGGACTCTTGGCGACTGTGACCCTTGTGGTACTCGGCGTCCTCAATTACCGACTCACGGACGCCCTCTCTGACATTGTGAGGCACCGCGTGGTCTCCAGCATGCTCGCCTGTGTTGGCGGCAGCCATCTCCTTGGCTCGAGCGTCCTCCTCGGCATCCCGGGCAGCCTTCTCTTCTTTGGTCAGTGCTTTCTCGTGGCGCTGCCTGCGCTGCTTCTTCTCCTCCGCCTTGGTCCTCTTCTGATGCTTCTTCTTGGCCGCCTTGATGAGCTCCGTCTCAGCAGCCTCGAGCTTAGCATGGATGGAATCTCTCAGACTGATCTTGTCCAGAAGCTTGGTGAGGTCTCGATTGAGCCAAACATTGCGGACACCGCCGGGGAAAACATCGAACAAGCCCAACAAGGCCTCCTCGCTCAGCCACTTGGTTGGTATCGAGTTGACAAGAACAGTCGTGGCGGATGCCTTGAGGCGATGCTCGGCACTTGTCAGATAATCTTGGCGGACTTTGACGTATACACGAAGCTCGAAGAAGAAGACGGCACAGACCCAGATGACGACAAGAATGGCCATGAGCAGATGGGCTCCATAACGGCTTGAGTTTTCGGGACGCACATTACCCCACGCCAGAGTATCGAGGCCTCTTGGGGCACCCCGGTTACTGTCGTCATTATCCAGATTGGTGTCGATGTTCTGGCCCAGTCCGTCGATATAGTTGATAGGGATCAGGATGGGCATGACGACAGCTCCGATGGGGATGAAGATGATGAGAAGGGTTTTGAGGTAACGCAAGAAGAAGTAGGCGTCGAGACCGCATTTCTTAATGATTTCTCGATCGCTGTAATTCAGGACGACCTTGAGCAGGGAGAAGACGTTGACGGGAGGAGGCTCGGTGCGCTCGCGTTCGGGAACAAGATACGTCTTGGGCTTGCTGTTGGACAGATGGGGTCAGCAAAAGTATGGCAAGAAAGGAAGAATGGCAGCGGTGGCAACGTACAAGATGCGAGCTAGTTTGTTCCGCAAGAGGAGGAAGAGGATAATCTGAACGGCGAAGACAATGGCGGCCACACCAAGGGCACTGAGGAAGCCGATAATGCCTATTCCTTCATCATCTTGGGCCGCTCCTGGTCCCTCGCCGCCTGTTTGGGATGGAGGAGGGCGGGCGGTTGTTGACGAGGTCAGGGCTTCGGAAAGAGAGGAGGCAGCCGTGGACGCTATAGATGTTGCTGTTTCTGAGATGGAGGACAAGGTCTCGGAGAGGGAGGCGGTACCCTCAGAGGTGGTCGACGACATGGCTGGGTGTTGCAGCACCTCGGGGTGCTAGGTAGGTTCGATGTGCCGTTCCCGTGCTCGATGCGTTGGTTCTGGCAGAGGCTATGATGTCGGAAGTAGAATATAAGGATATGGCAAACCGAGGGACGAAGCACCAAGGTTGTCAATGCTGTAGTTGTGCGAAGTGCCGTGTCCCTGGTTCCGACGGGACGGCAGACGTACAGCACAAGAGAAAGATGGCGTTTGTTCCCAGACCAAGAACAAGTGAGAAGAAACGCAACAGAACAAAGAGGATGACAGAGAAACTTGGCCAGGAACCGCCAGCGCTAGGAAGGCAAGGTTTGGGTTCGCCGACTGGCGGGAAGCGGGAAGCACTGATTGGGGATCCCCAAGGACCTGGACCCAAAAGGAGCCATGATTTAGGGGAGCGCGAGGTGGGTGAATTAGGCGGTTACAGGTTTTAGGCGGGTCCTAGGAGGTGCGGATCGGGGCTCTATGCAAGCTGTGACATCAGAGGCTTGATTGGCCACCAATAAGCGCGGTCCCTGGGCTCATCCCTGGCTAGCACTACTCCCCGTTGGCGCCTGCTTCATCTACAGTCCTCTGAGACCAATGAATCCAAGCACCCTGGGTTGCCATTCTGTCCGACGCGCGCGTAACAATAATACCTACCCATGAATACAGAGCAGCCTGGCAAGTTAGCGAGCTTACTTGCTGTCGTCTACTGTGCTAAATAGAGGGACGGCAGAGTCCAAAGAGGACCATGTGCGCGTATCATTTGTTGTTGGTTTTAGGACAGCAGGTAAGCACCCCCCTGTCCAAGCCCCTGCGGAAGGAGCCGAACACTTGGCAACTGATGTGGCGAGTGGCTTTGGCAACAGGCAGGCGCAGCAGGGCAAGGGCAAATGGCAAAGGGAGAAATTCAATTTCGTGGACACATTCATCGAGTTGGCATGGCACAGTTCAATTCAAATACCATGCCCGCGTATTGCAAGATGTAAGACAGCAGGCAGGTCAAATAGCGCCTCCGCAGGGAATGCTGTGAGACCCATCACCACAACGACAGTGACGTACTGATGGATTGAGGGCCACCATCGACTATGCTCGCAGCTGACCCTTGGAATCCGCTTCCCAAGATTGCCATGGTAGCAGCCCGTTTACAGTGCTGACTGACGTCAAAGGTGCCCCCCACCATGCCCGATCGACTGGAATCTCACCACCAAGTGGGTGTGTGTGTGCGTGGTTAACGAGCGAACAGATCGGCTGTGCCACCTCTCGCTTCCATCCGGGTTTGGACTAGAGCTGCGAACACGCCCTTGCGGTTCACTGCAGGTCTCGCTGCGGCCAGCCACGTTTTTCTTCTTTTTCTGCAGAACAGACGTGGGAGTTTGACGGTGATGCTTCACCATCGCCAACCGAATGCACATGCATATGAGCACCACCGTGTCAAATGCCAGTAAATAGATTCTGCCCAACAGTTAAAAGGCTCTCTCCGCCATGCAAGTACATGTGATACTTGCCAACCTAGTTAGAGGTAGTTTTGGTGCCGAAAAAGTCTGGCCTTAGGCTCCTTGAAACTGTTCCCCACATCGAACCATTTCCCGCTACCAAGGTAGGGGCCTTATCGGGAACATGCATCAAGGGTCTATATTGTTGGGATATGGAGTTGAGGATTCTCCAGACTTTGATCAGAGGATGGGCTTTTCTCCACAGAGATGGATGAATTCAAATTTCCCGTGTAATTAGTTACCTAATAGCAGGATCATTCCACCCTTCCATCATTCGCATTTGCAACGCTCAGTTAAACCTGTGCTCCAGACCATCACGGTCAGCCAGAAAGGCCGGGAGACGTGCTTCGAGCACACAACGAATAGGCTCCTAATGGGAGGTGGCGTGGCCAATACCAGGCAAACCAAAGCGAACAGACGGGTACTCCAGGATATATGTACATTATATTAGCGTGGCAGAAACACACAACATCCAGCAATGCCATCGTCGCAAGACAAACGAGACTTTCCCTGCGGTGACAATGATATCCATACTCCAGAGACTCCAAAACGACCGATCTCTCCCTTATCAAGGAGGCTCCCTCAGCTACTGCTCCGATGATCCCACGTCGCGCCTATGCTCCAGACATGAGTGCGCGAGCGCAACTATCCCGACAACAGGTCCCGTCGTACAGTAGGCGACTAGAACAAAATGTCCAAGCAGCAGCAGCATGCTAGACCTGCCAGCAGACCCTCCATCAGACCTGGGCCGCCTCTGCGCTCCTGTGGCATGTACCCGACGGGCTGTTGGCCATAAGGTCCGGGCTGGGGAGGATAGGGTCCGTAGCCGGCCGGGAAGGGGCCTTGCTGTTGCTGGTCGTAGGGGCCCGGCTGCTGGTTGTAGTATCCCATCTGAGGTCCCGGCGCATAGTAGGCGTTCTGCTGGTAAGGGTCGCCGCCCTGGGGGTAGGGACCCGGGGCGCCGTAGGAGGGCTGGGGCTGCTGGAGAGGCGGCGCGCCGTATGGTGGTGGTTGTTGCTGTTCGGGCTTGCTCGCCATGGCGATGAGGGTCGGAAGGGTCGGACTGGTATGGCTTTGTGGTGTTTGTAGGTATGCGACGACTAGGAGGAAGTCTGCTTGGTCTTTGGGGGTATCGAGGGTTTTGCGCAGCAAATGAAGTCGATGCCAAGACCAGCTGAAGGGAGGGAAAGGAGGAGAAATAAGTCTGCGGAAAGCAAGAAGGAATTGCACCGGTGCACAGCCAAGACTGCTCGTCAGGCCCTCCTCCCTCCCTCTGTCCCCTCTGTCCAAAGGTCGAACCCAAACGGTTGGCGTCTCAATCAACGCTCCGTAGTGCGCACAGTGGGCCTCGAGATTACGCGGATGGTCACGCTGCAAAGGGGACGGGAACAAGAGGCGTCTGCTGCACGGACTAATTCACCATATACGGCTGCTACGAGATACGATGGCACGCCACCGCTCTCACCTAAGGCCGACAGAGCTCCCGCTGCATTGCCGTTTTCGCCGAACATCGCCTCCCATCACCTCCTCGCCACGACGGATAGGAAGGTCCGTGGGCAGGAGAAAGCCGAAGAAGACGAGGACGAGGACCACCTATCCCCAACCCGGAGACTTGTGGCTCAGACCCCATGCCACGCATCCATCCACGATTCCAGAGATATAGTGGAGTCCCCCAGCTCTGCATCGTCAAATTGGACATGACGATGAACGATGGACAGAATGCACGTCCTCGGATGGCTTTTACATCTACATCTCGTTGGGCGGATATCCGACCCAGCCGAACCCATAGAAGGTCTGGATACATCATTTGCTGTCAAAAAGAAACCCGTCTGCGTAATAGCGAGGCGGCCGCCAAATAACGGAACCAGCGGCAGAGAGTACCGGCGACGCATCAGCGCTTGCGCCACGAAGTCTCCCATGGCCCTTGCATCGGCTTCGTGCGCAAATCATGCCATCGGGGTTTTTCCTTTTGGTGCTGGCCGGCAGCCTATGCCGCCTGGAAGTGAGGCGCTGTGGAAATCAACTACGGAGCTAACGCCGATGGTTGAGAAGAAGGTTTCTACCAAAACCCGTGGTGGGAGAAGCCCGCTATAGTAGCTGAGGGGAGGCAGACCACAAAAAGATAATGGTAAGAACGAACATGAGGCCTCACCAAAACAAAAAGCCCCCACGCAGAATCGAACTACGGACCTTCACGTTTCCTTGCACTGAGTACAAGCGCGATGTTGTAACCACTCAACTATGGGGGCTCTGTGATGGGCGAATGCATCGTCTAAGACACGATATAAGGAGACACATCGACGACATGGAGGACCTCTCCTCTCGATTCAATATTTCTGTATATGAACTAGCGTCAGATTATGTAATTTGCCCCATCAACTTGAAAGCCTGCCATGGAGCAAACCTACCGGACGAGCAAAGGCACGTGATGGCAACCTAAAATCTGCTGCCCGCCATCACTAGCCACACCTCTTCGTGGCGGTGCTCAGGCTGCCCCACGTTGCACTCACTTATCCGCATCCCACCACGAAAAAGTGACAAATTCAGATATCGAGTTGAAACTCCACCATCACGACCTCTGCACTCGCCCCCTCCCTTCGCGCCCATCCGACGCTTCCAGACGACGACACCGTGACCATCGGCCCTCGAGACGAAATATCTACCGCGGCCTTAGAGAACCTCTCAGAAAACCAGACGCCCGCCCAGCATGGCGCCTCTAGCCGAGACGAAGCCCAGGTGAGTGAGAGACAAATCCACACACCCCGCCGCCATATTTCGCCCATGGGTTTGCCCTGCTCTCGGTGGTCAGTCGCTAACCACAGCATTTCCGCCTCGCCGCAGAGATTGGGCCGACGACGACGACAACGAGGAGGTGTCCTCTGACCTCCCCCCTCCCCAGACCATCTCCAACAAGGACGGAACCAAGACCATCATCACCTTCCGCTACAATGACCAGAACCAAAAGGTCAAGACGACGCGCCGCATCCGCTACACGACGCACAAGGAGACTGTCAACCCGCGCGTCGCCGACCGCAAGACCTGGGCCAAGTTTGGCCAGAGCGCCAAGGACCCCGCCGGCCCGGCCCCCGACACGACGTCGGTGGGCGAGAACATCATCTTCCGCCCCAGCGTCAGCTGGCGCAAGGACGCCAAGGACGAGGGCGCCGACCCCAACGCCCAGGCCATGAAGGACAAGCTCAAGGACAAGAAGGTCAAGTGCCGTATTTGCAACGGCGAGCACTTTACCGCCAGGTGTCCCTACAAGGACACCATGGCCCCGATTGGCGAGAACGGCGCTGCCGACGTCGCCGCCGGCATGGGCGACGACCTCTCTGCCAGCGGTGCGGGCGGAGCCGGTCCCGGTGCTGCCGCCGCGGCCGCAGCGGCTGGCAAGAAGGGATCCTACGTGCCACCTGCTCTGCGCGGGGACAGGGCCGGCGCTGTGGGAGACCGCATGGGCGGGTCCAAGTACGGCGAGCGGGACGACCTTGCCACTCTGCGCGTTACGAACGTGAGTAGCCCCTCGATGCGAGCAGCCCAGCCCTTGACTCGGCTGTGCCCACGACCTGGGTCGGGTGCATACATCGACTCATCGCATGCTAACGTTTGGTCCAGGTTTCCGAGATGGCAGAAGAATCCGAGCTGCGGGACATGTTCGAGCGGTTCGGCCGCGTCACGAGGGTATTCCTCGCCAAGGACCGGGAGACGGGCATGGCCAAGGGATTCGCCTTCATCAGCTTCGCGGACCGCGGGGACGCTGTCAAGGCCTGCGCCAAGATGGACGGCTTCGGTTTCAAGCATCTCATCCTGCGTGTCGAGTTTGCAAAGAAGGCTCAGTAAGGCGCGGTTGGTTCTGGGACGGGTACGGATTAGGCAACCTTGACGCTCCTTTTTATTTATTTATTTATGGTTCTGCACCATTTTGTCACGAGTTAGATGCACACGGATTCCGAAAGAATTTGAACAAAAGGCCAAAAGCTCATGACGGGCAGTATTTTACATGGAATGGAATGTTCACGGCTATGAGTGAGAGAGATGTGTAGCATATGTGTTGTATGTATTGCTTTGACAGGATCAGACTGTCAGGTGGTATCAAAAAAGAACTTGGTTTGCTCGGCACTCTACTCGATAGAGCTGCCGGTAAGCCCAAGTAGGTTTGTAACAAAATGAAATAACAGACTGGAGTAGAGCGAAAGACTCGAAGAGATCAACAGATCGAGGATGCTAGACAACAAGTACCACCCTAATCCTGCTCGGGCATGTTGTGGGAGGAACGTGTTGATCGTATGGATCCGCGTAAGTCGTCAATCTTTGAGTCGTAGTAGTTTGTGTAGGAAATAATGATAAGAGAGAGTGTGTTTCTTCCGGTAGTGGTGGATATGACCATGTCGGCGGCTGTTTGCAGTGCCGTGAGAGATGAGCGAGTGTATGGTGAGGCCCAGAGGGCTATATAATGAGCAGCGAGGAGGAAGACAGGTCGAGCAGCAGCGGTGGGAGTGATTATGCCGTGCTCGGCGGTCCCCTTGAGGTGAATTATCAAGAGAGTATGTGCAAGAAACTCCAGGCAGAAGCAACCAATAGACAGGAAGCGCAACAAGCGCAGGAGAAGGAGGGAAAGGATGACGAAACACGAAAAGAGAATCAGCCCCGAGAACGCCTTGAGCCTTTGGCTACCAGGTCAGATCTAGGCGGCAGTCTCGGCAGGCTCAGCGCCGTCCTCGCCGCCGTTCTTGGCGAGCTTCTCCTCCCACTTCTTCTTCTGGGCGATGGCGCGCTGCTTCTTCTTGGCATCGGCCTCCTTGCGCCTCTGCTCGCGCTTCTCGCCGACCATGTAGGGCAGGGCGGCGACGCAGCGGCCGAGGGTGACGAAGAACTGGCCCAGGTGGTGAAAGGTCTGCTTGAGGTGGCCGCGGGCGTCGCGGAAGCTGTCGCGGGCGGCCGTGGCGCGCTTCTTGGCGCGGTAGGCCCGCTCGGCGCGCGCGGCCTTCTGGAACTGCTGCGAGGCCTCCTGGCGCGTCGTCATGAGAAGGTTCTCGGTGCCCGAGGTGCCGGGGCGGGCGGCTTCCCCCGCGGGCTTGTCGCCGCCGGCGGCGGAGGAGGTGTCGGAGTTCTTGGAGCTGAAGAGGGCCATTGCGGTGGGACTGAAGGGGGGGGTATTAGGGGAGTGAGGTGTAATATTAGAGATGTATATACTACGAGGTGATGATGGTTGGGGAGGGAGAGCGAGGAGAGTGAAGCATCGTCGCGGCCGGGCAGCTATATACTCGCTCACCCGTCGCTGGCGCGGCCGCAAATTTCATGCACGAACAAGAGAGTCCTCCGAGTCAGGGGGGAGGGGGAGAGCCATGATGGTCAACGTGTGGTCTGACGCTTTAGCGTGGAGGGTTGTGGTGGTTTGCGTTCATGCGACGACATGCTGCGTTGGAGGAAGCAATAGAGGGCATCCCTGTCGGCCTGCAGCCATGGCATAAACATGCAATCAAAAACGTGGCTGCCGCCCTCCTGGTGATGCTGGGCCGCCCCCTCGACGGTGGCCTAGTGGCCTTGCTTTTGTTTCATGCTCTTGCGGTGCAGGAAAATTCTTCTTTATGGGTGGCTCGACGTGGTGGCCTGGGCTTGTCGTTTGTTTCCCAAGCCAAGTTTCGTCAAGCACTACTAATCCAGCATATTAGCAAAGTCTATATATAGGTATGTTGTATGCTCGATCCTCCCTTTGCCTCTTCTCTAGTGGTTTTTTTCTCCTTCTTCTTTTCCTTATAAATTATTTTTATTTTTGTTGTTTTGTTGTTTCTTCTTTTAATTATTTATCAAGAAACATCACCAGCGTTCCTTCTGGTGTTTCCTGCATTGCCCTTTCCGGAAAGTGGGGCTTCTCGGCCTCTGCTCACCAATCAAGGACCCTCTGCTGCTCTTTCCCTTGGTCATGCAAGGCAGGACCCGCCCCTGTATCGAATGGAGAATAAAATCCATCCTAAGCCTGGCCGCCCTGCCTATTGCATTGATCTCCCCGCCGCCGGCCAATAGGGGAAAAAAGGGAGCATTCAGCGAATCTTCGGCTTTTCCCACCCATCGCACACTGCGGAGCCGCGCACCCCGATCCATCCAGCCTTTCCTCTTTCTTTCCTGTGCGCTCTCTTGATTGTATAGACCCTGACGAGATGTCCATCCTGGATCGAGCGAACCGTCTATTTTCTGTCTGTGGCCTGCTGTTGTTGATAGGCAGGTAGGCATCCGACGCTATTGATCCTGTCCTCCACTCTCGCCATCCCTGCTTTTCCAGGGCTTTCCAAGGCATCGCCCCCCCCCCCCCCCTTCTGGCCGCTGATCATCATGCTCTTGTCCTGTTTCTTCTCCTCGTCCTGTATTCCGTTCTCGGACTTCTTGTGTCACGGCACTAGCCTACAAACTCCTCTAAGTGCGTGTGCTGGCTAACACCAATGTCGACAAGAAATACCTTGGTAGAGATGCAGGACTGCAAAGCAACTTACTAAACCTGCTCTTCTCTCCCGCTCTCCCGCCCTCCCTCTTCCTCTTTCCAGCCAGCTCCTCCTTCACCTCCAGATCAGTCGACCTGCGTCTGCTTTTCCCCACCCCAAGCAAAGACCGGGCTCAAAAGACAGCTTATAATGCCAGATGCCATGGATTTTATTATTATAATACCAGACTTAGTTGCACCCCAATCCCAAGCATTCCATCCCATCCATTCGTTACCTCATATGTGGCTTTTCCTCCCTTTCTTCCCTCCCCCCTCCTCTCCTCTCCTCTCCTCTTCTTCTTCCCCTTTTCTCCTTCTCTGACTCCTCCTCCCCTTTGTCATACCCGGGTTGCTTCTTCGTTCAGTCGTAATATCTACACCTGCTTTCTTCCTCTTTGAACAATATCGATATCGTGGGATTCTCTTCTGTCTCATCTATTGGCCCTCCTCGCTATGTTCTAAGAACGCGCTTAACCACACCCGAAAGAAACAAGACCTGAAACATCAAACAACAAGTCTACCTCGTTCATGCGCGCGCTTTGCTTCGCCTCCACTTTTTGATCGTCACTTTTTGCTTCATTACCTGAGCCTATCCTACACTCACCCCTTGCCATCCAGTATCCCGTTCAAAATCATGCAGCCTTCTGTCCGGAAACCAACATGTACAGCCGCATCGCCACGACAACCAAGAAACTCATACGTCCATCACATGCTGCAGATTTCCACAACGCCGGTGAAAATGCCATCCCATCCTCCTCACCAGGCCCCTCGTTG